TACGCCATTTGCAACGAAGCGATTCAATTTTAAGTTTATCAAAAAAAAAAAACTTCACCAAAGTCCTTTTATTATCTACAAATGAAAGCAATTTATTTTCGATAGCCAACAGCCGATTAATCGATACAGCTGTTGGCTTTTTTTATCACGGAACCAAGAAAATACATATATGCCCAAACACATATTTTAACTGAAATTTTACTCTGATTCGCACCGTACGCTTTGATTACACAGGTCAACGATTTAGAAAAAAAAATTTATGCCGCGATATTTATTTATTTTTCTTACGTGTAGTTTTAAATTTAACGTCACTCTAATCTGTACGTTTCTGTAAATAAATTGATTTTATTATCATGCCTACATCGCATAGAAGTTGTCTCCATGAGCCAAACGTATTTTATAAAAATTGCTCTCTGGATGAATAAAAGTGGTGGATACCACAAATGTATGAAGTTCGGTGTGCCTATGCAATTAAGACAAAAACAACTTGAACATCTGCTACTTCCGCTGTGTTAATTTGCGTGATGGTATCTAACTTAAAAAAGGATTTATCAAGACTTGGAGTCGGCTAAGAGACCCTTACCACATTTAGAGAAGCTAACTATTCCAACATTTTATTTTATTCGTGGCCTGACCTTCGAAAAAATCTTCAATGCAGTGAGCAGTGACACTGATCTCCAAGGAATAGCGTCTATGTAGCCGGGCCCCTTCACCGAAGAAATTTTTAGCTGTTATTATTTAAAAAAATATTAATTTTTTAATCTCTTAAAATTTTTGGAAACTTTTTTCTTCTTTTTTAAATTCAATTTTTTTTAACTTAATGCCTTTTTAGTTTTTAGATTTTATTGTTCTAAAAAGATTTTTTTATTTAGTTGAATTTTTAGGAACTTACTTTATTTTATTTTTTATTTTAATTTTCTTCAAATTTTTTGATAGTAGATATTATTTTAAAAAGGAATTTATTTAATTTAATTTTAGGGAACTTACTTTTGTTTTTTATTTATTTTTTGTTGATGTATTGGGTTTAAACGAAAACTTATTTTAAAAAAGTAGATATTTAATTTAATTTTAAGAACCTTTTTTTTTGTTTTTTATTTATCTTTTTATTGGTGTTATGGACTCTAAACGAAACATTTCTCTATTTATACTTAATTTTTAGAAACTTATTTAAATAGTTTTTTTCTTTTTTTAACTAAATTATTATTTTTTTAATTAAATTTTCAGGTACTTTGTAGTTTTTATTGCTTTAAAAAAAACCATCAAAAAGAATGTTATGTACATATTTAACGTAATAAATGTAATTTTAATGCAAATTTGTATTTGTCTGTAAAATATACATAGAAAACTGCACGTAGAAAATAACAATTTTTTTTTAAGAATATAGGCCAAAACCACTGTTGGCCAGTGTTATTTACGCAAATCCTTAAAAATAATTAAAAATTTGGTATCATCCATCTTTATTTTAACGATAAATTAAAAGTACTTTAAAATGCTCTTTTTAAAGTTTTTCTTAATCCCCAGCAGCTAACTAAAAGTCCTACTTTTGTAAATCTGTCTCTTTCCAGAATAATTGCGAACAAAAGAAATTTTTTTATAATTAAATTTGTCTTCACTTTCAGTTGCATCACCGTCGGCTAATATAGCAGAAAATATCAATTTTAAGTTATATATACATATGTATGTATGTATGTACATATTTACATGAGTAGATATGTAAGCGCGTAAATGTTTGTACATTTGTCTTGACATCTGTACGTAAGTATGTAAAGCGACTAAGCGGAAATTATTAGCCATCGTAGTCATTAATTAAAAGCACTTACTAAGCGCAGAGGAGTTCACACCCGCATTACAAAAGTCAACACAATATCTATACAAATACCAATATACATACATATGTATGTATGTACTTATGTAGATATTTTTACATACAAAACGATGGCACTCCGCGCACTAATGGGTGACTAATTTGATTACTAACTAAATACATTGACATCAAGCTGATAAATAGGAGCGGAATTAAGCGTATAAGACAGATGCCGGTAGCTGGAATGTGTGTGCATAGTTATGTATGTATGTATGTATCTTTGGAAGTGCATTTGTGTGTGTGTGCAATGCAAATACGCCCGCAATGGTAAAGCAATTGCTCTCGATTTTGAGTCATTCATTCATTTATTATTTGCTTAATTGAAGTACATATCTAAGTTCAAATGTAATACAAATATTATTTAAGATAAACCTATGAACGTCATAAAAGTTAGTCAGAAAGAGAAACTAATTCTTGAGAAATAAATAAACGGAATGAAAAGTTACATTAAATAAATGAGCGAAAAAATGGGAAGAAACAAAGTACAGGGGATTCTTCAATGACCGTACACACATACATTTATGTACATTAGACTGCATCACTCCCCATACAAAAAAAAAATCGGTACTATTTTTCCATTGGAATTATAAAATCTACTATATTATAAGACGTCCACCAAAATATTTCGGAAAAATAATAAGATTTGAGTGAGCTGGACCGATTTGAATATACCTCCTAAAATGGAGTTTTTTTATGAATAAAAATAGTTTCGTAAAATTTTTTTTTTTAAATCCCCTCAAATGACAAAACGGTTTAAGCTTAAAATATTTGCATAAAAATATTAAAAAAAAATTGAACGGAATCGTAATGATGAGATTTTTGATGCTGTTTTTTGACTTTTTTCAAAGATTGGTAAAGGAAAAACTTTAATAACTAAACCTAAACTCATCCGATTTAGACTTAAGAGGTGTCATTGGAAAGGTATTTTCTCACCCTTTTTATTTCTTTGCTAATAAACTCATTCAAAGGATGGAAGAGAAAGGTAGGATGAACGAACGTCATTCAAAGTTGTATTAAGATGTGTTGGTATTCGAAAAAACAAGATGGGAAACGAATGACGTTTTTTTGGCCAGAAATAAAAACAGTGTGAAAATACCTTTCTACCGAGATCCCATAAGTCTAAATCAGAACATTTTTGGCCCAGTTATTCAAGTTTTTCGTAAATCAATCTTTGAAAAAAGTAAAAAAAACAGCATCAAAAATGTTATTCTTACGATTCCGTTGAAAAGATTTTTAAATATTTTTATGCCGATTTTTTAAGCTTAATTTAATTTGTCATCTGAGGGGACCGTTTTCAAAAAGTTCTTTAAGAAACTATTTTTATTCATAAAAAACTTAATTTTTGAAGGTATTTTCAAATCGGTCCAGCTCGCTTAAATCTTAATATTTTCCCGAAATATTTTGGTGGAGGGTCTTAAAATATAATAAATTTTGTAATCCCGACGGAAAACCCGCAACTTTTTTTGGTGATGCAGTCTAATGTACATACCCTACTCTTCATTATTGAACCGATTTCGGTGAAAGTGCTTTGTAGAGGTCCTATGCCCTCATGCGGAGCCGTAATTTAGAAAAAATAAACTATGAAATAGATTTTGGAATGTTGTGTGTACCAAATTCAAAACTACTCTTTAAGGCAAAGTACATAAGTACATATATTTTATGAAATCTTCCAGAGCGAAATCGATTAAGAAAGGTTCTACAGAAAAACCCAGTTTCTCCAAATTACAAACATAGTGCATATGGTTAATGGCCACTTTTTCACTTGCCAGGATACACCGAGGAGCCCATTGTAAATGTTGTGTGTTTTCGGTCAAACTTTCTACCCACTCTCTGGTCGATTAAAGTCTTTCAAACTTAAAAATCGTGGGAACTAGATGGCATATTTTCCGTTAATATGAATTGCTTTTGACCACCGCTGTCCAATAGTGTGCACCTCACATTCCTAGCGAATGAACCAAAACCGAAATAGCCTCTATACATACTATCCAATGAAATGAGGCAGATTAATAAACATTGCCTAATTTATTCTCAAAATTCCATTAAAAGTTCTATATGTCGGCATCCAATAGCTCTCCCTTCATCGGATAAGAAAGTTTGTGGACACTATGCTGCCGAAATTGAAAGACTTACAAAATATGTACATATATTAGTACATTTTTATTAAGTTCACCTCCCCAGAACTAAAATACAAACATACATACATCGAAAATAAGAACCTTTTTTTTTTTTGTTTGAAATCTATTGATATTTAACCATGCCGCCGGTGCATTGAAGTTTTCCAAATATTTTACATGGGAAATACAAATTTTTCTATAGAATTGATATAAAATCATTAAAAACAATTTTTTTAATGGAATAAGAATATTTTCTCTTTGCGATATATTCAACACAGAAAGATGGGCTATAAAACTGCATACTTAGGAATTTTTTTTAAATCTGAATACAAAGTTGCAAATTTGTATGCAAATTTATTGAATTTTCCTGAGTTTCGCACAAAGTTTAGAAACTAAGTTTTAATGTTTTTTGGCGTAGGATGGACTATATCTTTATAGAAAATTATTGAAAATAAATTACCAGAATAAAAATATTGCGAAAAGAAATTCTCTGTGCCAATGCTTTTGTCCGGCACTGTATTTGTTTCTATACCTTAAATTACTGAAATTTACTGTCTCCCAGTGTTTTTTTTATCATTTTTTAATACCTACTGAACAAACTAAAATTATTAAATCGTAGGAACCAGTGTTTTAGCTTTTGAAAGTTAAAAGTATTTTTCCATTTTTATATTTAAATGTTTGAATTTTCTTTGAACTTTTTTACACGTACGAGCATTTGCAATCAAATTTTATTTACGCCGTTTTTTTTTTTTTTTTTGTTGCTCTGTATGTGTATGAATGAAAATTAATCCGTGTGATTATGCGTTTTATATCTAATTTTCGTACCTACAATCGAATTGAGACTAATTTTTCAATACACAGTACATACGTACCTAGTTAAGCGCATAAGGCATTTGATTAAGTGAAATGAATCTAAAGGAGGCATGCCCAGCGCAGGGCACATGCTTATGGAGTTCTGTCGGCGTTGGGCATGACTGATCTAACGTATTTTTTTTAGGTGTAAAGTTTTGTAGTGAACTTACCATTTTCGCCGTGATGTCTTCCACTTTTAATCCGTTTTTTGCGCGTGCCGCGTACAAAATGGTGAAACGTAGAGGATGCTAATCCTTGAAAGCTTACAAGCACAGATTGATTGAGGCTGGCAGCTTGTGGTTTACCACAGAAAGGTTCACAAATGCAAGTTAGTAGATTTTTTCAAAGTTTCACAAATTTACGCACTTTTTTCTCTATACGTTTTTATTAATTAACAAATCGCAGACAAATGTTTTTATTTGTTTATGCCGCACAAAATGCACAGCATGTCTAGTTAATTTCTATTGAATTTTAAATTTTATTTTCGATTCTAAAGTTGTTTACTTGTAAGTAAATACAGTTTGCGCAAAGTTGTTTTTGTAGGTGAATTTTTTTTTTTGGTATTACTGTTTTGAGACCCTGAATGGTTAATGGCAATGGTAGGGTATATGGTAGTGAAAGTGGGTTTCTTTTACTCGCTGGCACTATGTTTTGAATGTAGAGGCAGAATCAGTCAAGGATTACGCAGATGCACTAGTTCAAATTTAATCTTTTTAAATCACTAGTAAATTTGTCTCCATACTCTTTTTTTGAGTACTAAAGTTTAATTTGTTTATTTTTAAGATATCTTTTTAAATTACCACTTCGTTAATTTTTTCGTAAAGCTTCAAGCTTTTCTTCTTTCGCATTGATTTTTAAATGTTTTTAGAGTAATTTACAGTTAATTACTCTGTAGCACATAACTTTTTTATGTTTTGAAAATATATTATTTATTGAATCATAAATTTTGAGTATCCACTGCACTTTTTTTTAAGTATTATTGTTGGTTTTTTGCTTTTTATTCTTTTTCCATCTGTTTTAATATGAAATTTAGAAATTTGAGAATCCTTTCGACCAGTTTTTCAACTTCAGAGTTTTCTTCAATGAATTATTTATTGCGATTTAAAGCACGAGCACAAATTTTAACTGTTATTTTAAAATTTTCTTGACTGTATATTTTTCAATGCATTATTTGTTGTTGTTCTTTTCACAAGTATAGTTAAATTCTATTTCGTTGTTTTAATTCATTTCCACATATCGGTAATTAATTCACATCACTAAATTCCTTTACCGTTAACTCCGTTTAGTTCATTAATTCGACTCCAAAAATTCTAGCAGTAGGAGACGCCAACGAACTGTTACCACCCGAAGACCGTATATGAGTGTGTTCGCCGATAGCAATTCACTTCCCAATAATTCCAATGCAACCGCCGGAAAAAAACAAATCCAAGAAAAGCAAAACAATGCCAAAATCACAGCAACACAAATTAAAACGCAAGCAAAAAATCAAACGTCCAACCAATTCCGAAAATCAAATGCAAATGCTTGCTAATGTTTTAACACCAACGAACATATTCGTATTATCTCGCTCAGCCAGCACAAATGCCGCAACTGCCGTCAATTCCCTAGTAAATACATTCGTTCAACGCTGCCACCGCAATGCTGCTAAATGTTCTTGCCACTGTTGTTGTTTTGTTGTTATTAGTTATGTGTACTAGAATCGAGTAGAGTACTTACTACTAGTGTAAAATGTAGAATATTGCCGATTAGCCGCTGATTGTGAACGCTGCTGCCTGCCACATGCACGTTTAGTCAATGACTAAGGGCGCGCAATTCAAAAATTTTTTAAATTCAACATCAACTCAACACAAAAACCAAAAACTAATAAAATCAATTTCACACACACACAAACAACCATCCACAGGCGAACGCACACAGCGTCATTTACCCTAAAACGCACATTCGCACACACACACACACTCACATTTGTTGTCTTCCGCTCAGCAGCAACGTGAGCTGGCATAAGAAATGTAGCCGGTGAGAATGCCGCTAAATGAGCACCTCATACTAACGTCGCACTAAAAGAGAGCGCAGAAGGCATTAAGCAAGCAACAAATTGAGTGGGGAAACTGTAACGGCAGCAGCAGCAGCCAACGTCGAAACTGTAGAACAGCGTTTGTAAGTCACTTTAACGGCAGCAACAAAGCAATGAATAAAAAAGTGCTAAGAAACTGTTTATAAAGCAAGCACAGTGGTGTGCGGCATGCTAAAGACTGTATAAATATGAAGTGAAATAACTGTTCGTTGTGGTCGTAAAAACTCCAGTGCAGAAAATAAAATGACATGATTCCCGGCTAAAAGAGGCTGCGAATAACACTGCCCAACAGTTTCGAGGTCATTGGCTTTGAGCGGAATGATTCTAATACTAGGTTTACATAAATATAAGTAGATTATCCTAATTTTCGTGCTTAATTACCTACTCTGTAACTAGAAAAAGAGATTAGCCATAGAAAATTTGCCGCTCGTTAAACTGTTATTATAAAATAATCTCAGATTAAACCGACAACTTTTGGGTGTCCAATCTAGTTTTATCGATTATTTTTTCGAAGAAGAGAAATGCAAAAATAAACAAAAATAGACGCTAGCAAGGAAAGAGGTTTTTAAAGGTATATATTTAAACACATATTAAGTCAATCTGAGATTCGTCTGAGTAAAAAGGGTTATTAAAAACGAGCTATTATTAAGATTATATTTATATTTAAGCATACTTTTACTCTGGACGAAAGACTTAGACCCATATAAATAATAAAACCCATGATACAAAAAAGGAGTTAGTTCCATTTAATGGCATTCGTTGTTATTGTAAACCATTTGAATTTTAATAAAATTATGAAATTTCATAAAATTTATGCTACCAAAGCAGAAGATTTCATCAGTCCACTCAAAGATGTGGAATATGATGGACTTGAAAATTTGAAATAATTTGCAAAATGGTGTTGCCGAAACAAGGTTTCAGAACGCGTGAAGAAAGTGATCAAAATTATATTTATTCTTATTATGTCAGTTGTTTATCGGAGGACGGTCTGTACAATCCATGTTCCAGTTTTTTGCATACATAGGAAATTTTAAATTCAAAATTTGTTGACGCCAATGATGATACGCTAACCACAAAGCCATATTTTTTGCAAAATCTGATGAAACATTTTAATGCAAATTTGGTCCAAAATGTTTTAAAGAGGCGGTTTTTATTATAAAAAATGGTTATTATAAAATAATGGTGTTTATTATAAAATAAAAAGAACAATTACCTCCTTTAACAGTTTACATTTTAAATAAAGAAGGTGTGAACCACGTTAGTAAAATAAGTACCAAGCACTGATAATGGTTTTTGATGTAAAATGCTATTACATTGCTATAAATATGGGAATGAAAATACTCGGATTTATTGTTTAAATATTATCAAAGTGGCAAGGCTGTTGATAATACTCACATTTTATGAAACTTCAAAAAATGTTATTATCCGTCAAAAGTTGTTTATTAAACTACCTTCTTTTTTGTATCATGGTAAAACCTCTAACTCTCTTTGCATTCTCAGGTCAAATACTTTTCTGTCTGAGTGTTATTAGTAATAATGGTAGATTGACGCTAACACAATATGTTATGCTGACTACGTACGAGGCAACTGTTGAGGCAACCAGGGCATGTTGCTTCGACCGTTGCCTCATGTGTAGCATTGTTGCTCATAGAAATTCGTGTTGTCACAACCGTTGCTCGAAAATTAAAATATCACTACTTCTCTTCTTCTTCTTATTTGGCGCTGTAACCGCCTAAGTTCCGAGTTGAACGAAGTTGCTGTATTTTAATTCCCTGCACTATGTCCATGTCGTCGTAAAGCTCACACAGCTCATAGTTCCATATCACTACAATGCTGGTTTAATTCTCTATTTTGAAAACTTAATTTTAATTTAAAAGATTAATTTCCGTTTTTACCAATAAATTTTTAAAAGTCTGATGCCCGGTTGCACCAATCAGTTTTAAAATTCACTGTTAAAATTTAAAATGAAAAATTTTCGGAAAAAAATTTAAATTGATTGGTTTCCCGGGCATGATAAATTTAAAATTCATTGCTGAAACTGGGTATAATAGATTTTTTTCTGGTTCTTATCAGGTCCAAGCAGCTTAAATATAATATTTTATTTTATTTCTTATTATGTGTCAAATTTAAATTTAAACAAATAAGACTATTATTTTCTTACGTCAATAAGACAGTCTCACATCACATCTTATAACCTTTCTTCTATCAGCCCACTGTTCAATGACAACGAAGGAACTCTCGCATTTTAATTTGGCCACATCTTCGGCTCGTTCTTCGTACCTCAGTTGATTTGTAATTTCGTTGTTCATATTGGTAATTCGTAATTTCGTACATATTTATTAGTTTGTGTTGATTTTGCTTTATTATTTGGAATACTTATTCTAATTCACTCACACTACGTATCAACTAGTAGGTATATGTGGCAACGTGCGATTACTCTCTACTTTCACATACAAACGCGTATTTTCTCTCACACTGTAGCGCTCTTCTCTGCTCATTTTCATAGGAAATCGAGTTCAAATACACAGTGCAATTTATGAAATAAGATGTGGTGATTACAAAGGCAATGACTGTCTAGTTAATGTGACTGCGCTTAAGGCAAACCCACTGTACATACCCTCATACACCGTTACGTGTGCTAGGAGAAAATACAAATGTAACTATGCGCGAGTACAACAACATACAAATCCTTTGTTCCTGGTAGCAGAAATAAGAATTTGTACTCGTAGTTAGTGCATCCCCTGATTTAACAGCATTTTTGGCAGATGGACACACTAACACAAGCTTGGCACGATTTTACTGACGATTCATAATTCGAAGTAAACGATATTCAAATGTGCGTATGTATGTATGTCAGTATTTGGTTCTTCGTTCGGACTACTGAAACTCGATTCCGGAGTAAATGACTCGAAAAATCGGAGTAAAAACGAAAGTTTCGGAGCAGATTAACATATTTTTAACCGACTTCCAAAAAAAGAGGTGGTCCTATACTAATCAGATTAAGATCCGATCATTGGATCATGAAATATATGTGTATATATTTTTTTTTTATATGAGAATTGAAGTCGGTTTTTTTTGCTTAAAAATTACTTGTTATTAAATAGTATAGGAAAGAGTTGTTACATCTTTAGATACTTTTTCAGTTCATTGCATTTTGTTTATACTACCGCAATATTTGAATTCACATATGTAATGTATATATATATATATATTATAGGTAGTTTTTCTATTCATCACATTATTTGGCTGTATGCTTAAAAACTAATCAATTGCTTTTTCTTAAAATTTCATACCTTTCACTTAAACTTATTTGAACAAACTGAGTAAAAAAAGGTCTGAAATTTTAAGAAAAAGTATTTGATTAAGTTTTACTCATACGGCCCTCTGTATTTATATTTTTTATTTACTTTTAATGAGATTCATCTCCAAAAATTTTCTTTCATCAGCAGCACTACCGTGCGGTAAAATAGCTAGCGTCCGAATATACTCTGCCTATTTGCTAAACATACACCTTTTCACAACATTTTTCTGGTCCTTAATCAATCCTCTACTTTGGGTAATATAAAGTTAAAGAGTAAAAGAGACAACTTCTGTTACACCTTGCTATACAAAACCTCGGTGGTTGCCACAGAAGCTACTGAGAAAAAAGTTAATATCGGGGCATATTTTATGTCAAGCGGAGCGGGAGTAGATATTAATGTAAAAAGAAATCGTAGTAAATCTACTCCGATTGGAGCAAAGTCCGGACGCTGTTCTTGAGTATTCTCACTCTCTCAAGTAGTCATCATTTTAAAATTTTTGGCTGCTCTGACTACATACATACATATGTAGATATGTACGTACATATGTATACGATATCCACTTTGCAAATGCAGTGATACATACTCACAAACATAATGATTACGCATTGGCAACCCCGTATTGATAGAAAATAAGGACAAAATTCTGGTAACCACTTGGGTGCAAAACTATTCAAATGCAAGACAAAAAATTATAAAAACTGATACTTAGGGTAGGTAGGAAATGGAGTACAGAAAGTATTCTTTTATTAGAGAAGTCGATTGGGGACATTAGAGTAACAATAAATTTAAGTCCAGGGTTTGCAAAACATTTTTCGCAGGGTATACAAAAACTGTACAAAGCAACAGACCACCATAAAACGCATTTTTAAGATGGAAAAACCACAGAACTTAGACATAAATGAAATAAAACAAAAATCGAAATCAAATGGTAGCGACCTAGTAGCACTACCTGGAAAAAGTTTGTTTGCGTAAGCATAGTTTGTCTGACTTCGTAAATGATCGGCATCATTTTTTTTTTCTATTTTTTCTAAACTACAAAAAGTGGAAATTTCTAATATGCGCAAGCCCGTTCAAATCCCGATTTGAAATTTAGTTGCGCGAATAAAGCACTTCCATTAATTCTAGTTTAGAAATAAAATCGGCTGATCTTTTACGAAGTCAGCCAAACCCTCCCAACTTAATTTTTAAATATACCTTATGGTACTTTACTACATGAACGTACATGAGGTACCCCGTAAATGCTACCAGCTTCCCCAGTACGGGGCACATTCAACAAATTTGACTTTTTTCAATCAACCGTAAAAAAGCTATCACATTATCCTTTAAATAATAAGTGATTGATTTAAGCTTATATATTTTTCGATTCGTTGAATATCTTCTAAGATATGGAGCTTCACAAAAGTGCCGGAGCTA